GGGTGTACACCGCGTCGAGAGGGCCCCGTATTTTCGCTTTACCGCGATACGGTCGATACGTGCTCTGTCGACGAGGCGATAAGATTTTCCTTTTTTCTTGTTTTCTAACTGTATTTGTGAACAAAGAAGATTATAACGCTAAATATTAGCAATGGGATACTATTCGATATATTACATCGGGAGATTATTGGAGGAGACGGAGTTCCCGAGAATGAAACTGTGGAACAATTACATTATTTGCAATAAATGAGGTATAATCACAGGCGATAACACAAACAATGTGTCTTGAACAATTATTTATATTTCGAAGGAGAATGGTATTTCAAAGGAGAAACATACTGATGCAAAATTACTTGCGTGCGATTAAAACCGATCAAGAATCAATGAAGGTATGAAACAGCTTGACTATTGTGTCTAGCAAACGTGTTACTTTTCCCATTCGATGGAAAAGAGCGCAACGTGCTTTGAATTGCGAATTTCATACCACGTAACCCATGCACACTCGCGTACATAATGATACTATCGATCGACATTAAACGTAAAACTGTACAGCGACTGTATTAGTAGGTAAGTAGATTGAACGAAGTCGCTACATGCCATTTATGTATTGTTCACTTTGATCAAGAACCGTACATCGATTGATTTATTTAAAAAAAAGGGGAATGAGAAAAATATTGTTCATCTACATTGCAGATGGAATCACGTTATATCCGTACATCCCTGGGTCCTACAGGGTTTAATATCGTGAAGGGTAGCCGAGAGGAAGGAAGATAGGGACGACCCTAAAGCGAGGGAGTGCTGATGCTAAAGCCGCGAGCATGAAGGGACCTTCAAATAAAAAAAAAGGTAGGACCTACTAAGCAAGCGAACGAACAAGAGAGAGAGAAAAGGAAAGAGAATCCGGTCCCCCTTCTTTCGAGACCAGGGAAAGGCCGCACCCACGCAGTTCTTGAAGATCATGCTGGGTCCCCGCTGGCACAGCCCTGAGCGTGTAAGTAAACACACCAAAGTTCTAGTACTTGGACATGGAGCGAACATTTTCCACGAGGTTGGATACCCGTGAGACACAAATGTTGGTCACTCACGTAAACGAGAAACCTTTCGATTCGGTCATTATGGGAAATAAAATGATAAATACTAGAAAATATATAAATCGTAAAGAAACGAGATATTTATCGATACGAGATAGCTTATTGCCACGTAAGGAGCACGAAGTACATAGAACACATAAAAGGATAAATGAAACTTGTACGGGTCTGACCATTGTTACTCCGATCACACGATGCTTACACAATATCGACGAAGTTGCGCTACGTTTTCGCTGTGCAACATCTTCACCTTGCCTTTAAAGCGAATTCGCATTTGCCTGTGTCATAACGGTTATATTATAACAATACTCGAACGTAAGATAATCAGAATGCACATGCTTGGCCAGCGAGTTGGCTGCTTAGGTTAAGTCAAAGTCAACACGTGGCAACGCCGCGCTACAGCTGTCATACGCGTCACGCATCGAGTCAAAGCTCAACTTATTCTACATAAGTGTTTTATAAGAGCTGGACAGAGATCTGTCTCTCATGGTACGATACGAAACAAAATGACTGGCTGGAAAGCAGTTGCACGTTGTCTGACTTTTGATCGGTAGGAAAAACCATTTCTCCGTTAAAGGAGAGCATTGTGTGGCCAGGGTTCTACTGGCTCTGTGTCGGGCTACCCAGCGTTACCTCGTAACATTCTCATGCCATCAACTTCCCTCTCCCGAAATCCCAGACGGGAAAGTGAGTTTCGGAACATGATTGTTAATTTTACGTAACGTACGGCTCACTTGCTTGCTAGGAACAAGTTTCCCCTCCTGCTTTTACCCAGATCTCCGTTCGATATCTGACTTGAATTTTCTTCACTCCAGTTTTCTGACGAAAAAAAGTTACTTTTTAACTTTCCCGCTGTATTTCCTATGTTATTTTCAAGGATAATGTTCGTTCGTTCTCTCTCTCTCTCTCTCTCTCTCTCTCTCTCTCTCTCTCTGTAGAAACGAGACGCAGTGCTGGTTGCGTCGATGTTTTCAAAAAACAAACCAACGTTATTGGTGCAGCGATGTTAATCTTACAACGAAGCAACGAAGAGTGGGAGCCAGCGAAGAAATAAAGAGGGACTAACAACGAAAGAGAGGATGGAGGGATAGGGTTAGTCTGTATCAACTGTGCACCCTTATCAATTGGAAAATTGGTGTGTGCAGTGGGAGCGGAAGAGGAGGGGTCTCGACTACGTTCAACTGACTGGTGGGGGAAGAACGATTAGGTTTACGCGCCTGCTAGGGGCGTATATATCGAAGGGTCGAAATAGGGGCTACTACATAGAATACCGGATTCAGGTATAATTTTCGTTTCTATACTCTCATCAACCGTCTTCGAAGAATCCTTTAAAGTCAGAAATTGTTTTAACAGTCCGCATTGTCTATGCACCCTCGGCGAATTAGAAATTTCGAGCAGGCGAAGCTGGTGGCAAGAGAAGGGTGTTCGTACAAAAGCCAGGGGCGTATCCAAGGAATAGATGGGAGCCTTTGTGTGCACGTTGTGAGAGAACCGAAAGAACGAGCAAGTGAATCAGCGAGAAAGAGCATGAGAGGGAAGAACATCAGAGAGGAACGGAAGAAGAGCGACTCAGACGTTTAGGGCGCATGCGTCACTCATCGTGGGCGTCGGGAATGTGTTGACACGAGAACCCGAGAGAACGCCGTGGCCCTAATGCCACGACGGCCCGTGTTATCGACGATACGGTTCCCATACTGCGGGTCCGCCCCGTCCTCGCAAAATCTGGGTCTTCCTGACGAAATCGAATCTCTCTCGGTGTTAATCTATGGGAATTAATCGTTTAGAAATTACTGCATAAATAACAAAGACAACAAACGAGAATAGACGGTCAAAAACTAATTCGAATACTTTCTAACCTCTAATTATATTCTGTTAAACGTATATTTCATTCGAATTATCCTTTTGTAGCATATTGCGTTATTGACTTGTAATTTTTGGTGATACATTCTCGGAGAAATATTCACCAGTCACTATAAAATTCGTATAAATTTTTATTTACGTTACCTCGTTTCTCGTTCGTTGATATGAGCCTATTTTTCAGGAAACTTTTGCCAGATGTTTAGAAGCTTGTATAGTTATGGAGTTAGCCACGAGGCTACAGGGAATGGCGTTCGCCACGCAGTAAATTTATATTTGTCTATAATCGAACCAGCTGGGTGTAGGAGATATCCACATGACTAAATTATCATTGGTGTTTTAAATATGCTAGACAATAATATTCAATGGGATATGATATACGGTATGTGTTTTAGTAGGTTAACAATTTATTATTTATTTTAATGTCTACTACATAGAGTAGAGTAATCTAACATACATGATTAAGCGTTTGATATGTAAAAATATCAATTTATATTAAAACTAATATTTGAAACGAGATAATTCTAACTACGTGTAACAAATTTCAGTAACCATTACGACAGAAGGTATCAGCTTTTATGTATACTGGACAGAATCATGGAAGGACTATTGAAAAATTCTATGCATTTATGAGCGCGGACTACACGAAGTAAGATCACAATTATTGTTCACAACTCTCCTCCATTTAAACAAGCGAGGAGAACGCTCCTCAATTTCTACGTGTATTACAAAAATGAACTTACAAATAAATATATCCGTTATCTGGTTTGTTTACCATCGCGAGCGAATTATACTTTAATTTCGCGGTTTTATTACGGACACACGAACATTATAACGCTGATTAATAACTATTATTAAGCGTCGATTCTGAAGAAAGCGCCGGAGGATCATTACACGTGCGTGTGCGTATGTCGGTCGAAGCTACGAAGTTTCACTATCAACTATGTATAGAAAACTAGTGTTGCTTGATATGTACATATAAACTAAGCGCATAATCGATTGCATGTCACATGCGTTTAAATTCAAAGGATAGGCAGCTTCCCATGAGAAATCGATGATAATCATAACAATTTGTAACTACAAACGGATGCAATAATAAAGATTCCGTACGTTCTCCATTTACAATGATATGCTTGTCGCTTTTTGATCCGTACTTATTATATTGGTAATAAGGGTATGTATGGAATACAACGTACCGCGACTATGTTGCACAAATACAACGAAATAGCGAAGCTCAGTTCAAAAAGTTCAAGAAGGAAGCTTTTTCTACACACGTACTTTCACGGACAAGTGTTGTACGCAAGTGTACTCGCACATATACAAACAAACTTGCGTCAAATGTGTACATATACGCGTACGTGTGATCGTACATATAGCACGTATACATATATATAAATCTCAATACGAACGAGATAAAGTAGAAAGGCGATGGATAAAAGGGGGAACACATGGGAGAAAGATCGAAAAAAAGTTTATATCACAGGTGCATATCGGTGCAATCGTAATATGTATATATCTATAGTTATATATTTATAATATATGTAGTTTTATATATACATATATATTAATTATCTTTCCTTGTGCATATAAGGGACATGTTTCCACGCTTTGTGTGCATCCTCTGTTTACAAAGGGCATTATTAAAAATCGAAGGTGATAATACCACAATGAAAGCCAAATATGAAACTGAGCGAACAAAGAACGCTGGGTAAATGCGTATATCGAATAGTGGGAGACGTAGAAAGGACAGGACAAAAGGAAAATTACCGGGAATATACCACAGTGGGGTGCTACAAGAAACTTTTTCAGGGTGAAATAAAAAAAAAATTCAGTCATCAGAGAAACACGTTTAGAAAATCTACGAAAAAGCGATGGAAAATGTCGGAGTACAGCACACCGTCAGGGGGTGAAATAAAGACAGGGGTCGAGCGAGCGAGAGAAATAGAGAGAGAAAGAGAGTGTGTGTGTGTGTTGTGTGTGTATGAGAGAGGGAGAGAGAAAGAGAGAAAGAGAGAGAGACAGCGCGCATCCAAATTTCGGAGGGAAAACTCCTACCTTTTACTGGGATAATCTGGGATTTTCAGAGCGATGTCATAGCAGAATACGTTGATTGTGCTAGGCCAAACCGACGGTCGGCGATGGCCGTGCAGCTCACCACTGAGAACACTGAGGTCGCTCCATGTCTCTCACTCGACCCAAGCCACGACCCCGCCCATAATGGGCCTACGATATTTTTGAGACCGTATGTTAAACCATAAACCACAAAGTATGTTCATATATTTGATTAATCTCGTCTGCAAACCACCAAAGATATTCTCTGATATTCCGCGTAACGATATCTACGTCGTAAGATTATCAGCGTTCTTGGTCACTGACGTCAAATGCTTTCCCGAACTTCGCTTATTTCGCCGTAGTTTAATGGCGGCACCACTTGCTTGCCATATAATAGTTACGTTGTTTTCCACCAATATCGACGGAGAAAAGTCTGAATGAATATCATAATTTCTCTGTGATACTTATGAGTATCATAATTTTTATGAATATTGTTTTATTTCTTGCATTTCTTTAATATTGATTATCTTTGGAATTATATTTGATAATGCGCGTTATATCTTTTCTGTGATCAAAAATAAAGTTGTTTTTATTTTTCTCCATACTTAAACGCTTATCAACTTAGATATACATTTTAATAAGTCCAAAAAGATCTATATGATGATAAAATGGTAAGCTGACTGCTTTACCCATCATGAATCTCCACTAATTATTCTCTAATATACATACGTTATAAGATTTCATAAGATAATTTACAAGTTTGGTTGTGAACTTATATAATTTTAGAACTATATATAATTTTTATTTTTTAAGATATTATATGTAGGAAATTATAACCGTTAGAACATTTTATAAAAACTAATATTCTATCAGTTTTAAATTTTATGGTAACTTTTAAAGTAAAAATAGTTTATAATTGAAATCGTATTGCTACAGACTGTAAAGAAATTGTATGGAACAGTAGTTCTTCAGCCCATCAACCTTTTCGTTATCCATACCTTCTCTTATATTTTATTAAAAATTTTGTTGAATATTTTGAGTTTTTATACATGTAGATTTTTCGTTTATTTTTGATAAAGGTGATCTGATAAACAAGGAAAGAAATAGTAAGGGGTGTAAAATCATTCCTTAAATTCAGTATCACGAGGTGTTGTGCTTCACTATGTTCAACCAATCAGCGAGCTCTACCTTCCGATCGTTATACACAATATTAGTTTATTCAATAACTTTAATATAAAATGTAGCAGAAGGCTATTACAAATGGCTATAAAAAATTCGTAAATATTTTTAATGTTCATAAAATTACTAAATTTTATCTCTGTAAATATTTCAAAGGAAATATAGTAGGTTATACGAAAAAAGCCGAAAATCTCCGAGAGAGTATCAACGTGATTGGTTGGAAAAGATCACGTGACTAGAAATGCTTTGAAATATTGGTCAAGCTTGACTGGTGGGGGGTGTTCATATCCTTAAGTTTGGCTTGCATCTTCACAAAGCAAGAAACAGAGTTAGAGAAGGATCGTGCTTGCGAGTACATAGTTTACGAGTTCGATCGCAGTATCCGGTTTCAGCGAGTGTTATGTGAGTTGGCGAAGTGCAAAAAAAAGCTTAAAGTGAGAGGAAAAAACGCAAGGAGAGACAGAAATTGATAGGCGCTACTTTACGGATGATAATATCAGTTTTTAAAATAGAATGAACGTCGCTTAGTGCGCGTACATATACAGACACGTACGAGATATTGCTCATAAAGTTAATTTCACGTTTTACGAACATATGTGTACGCGCGCGTGCGCGTTGCGAAGGTACGAATACGTGAAGTTTTGTTATTGAACGGTGATCGTATTGTGAAAAATCCGTGCGGAGTAGCGAAAACAAACAACTCGTGTCCGCCATCTTGTGTCTCTCCAGCTGCGTTGAAAGTGAGAGAAATCGGACCGACGCGTGTGATTTTATTTGGTGAGAAGAAAAAGTGTAAGCAGAGGTGACCAACGGTCACCGAATGTGGTCAAATTTGCAAAAAACACGTATAGGGAGGACTGCGAGAGAACTCGAAGTAACCGAGGCGAGGTAGCATTGCGCTCATAGGAGGTTCGTAGAGTACCCCACCAAGTTTATTCCTCCGCGTTCCCCCTACCCTTTTGCCCTGGATCCCGAGATTATTGCGCAGTTAGAAAATTCATTCAATACAAACATCGCCGAAAACTTCGTTGCATCTTTAGAAAGTGACCCGCGAACATTTTATGGTAAGTTTCTATAAGGGTTCAAAATTAGTTACTCTCTCCCTTCTCCTCTGTTTTTGTAATTTCGATGCAACGTAGCATGAATTATTATTGTCATTTTTCTATTTACTTCCTTTATAAAAACCTTTTAAAATATGTAATTTATTGTTATGAAGAAAATGAAGTTGATTCAGGAACATTAAATAAGTGTTACGTCTTATGTGTTACTTTTCTTATCGATTTGCATAGAGTCAACCCTATAGCTACTATAAATTGAATTTATCGATTACTATAACAGGATGCACAATATTTGTTATTGTTCAGTGATAAAATTCCGATATGTCTAGGGACGCATGCTAAATTGCGTGTGAAACGAAATAAAATATTCCATCTGTTTTCTTTGGTCTTCATTTGAGGCATTGCATGTTAATGCAGTTAGTTGCCAGGGACTGGCTTGTTGACAGTTCAATCAGTGACTTATTTAAAATACGAGATTTAGAAGATATTTTATGTTTCAGACGGGTCGGTTGGCTTTGTAATTGACAGGAAAGTCGAACGTACGATAAACAAGCCATGATGAATTCGGTACCGGAACTGAAGAACAACCGGCAGGATTCGCCGAATGGCGGCGTCGAGCGACATCATCAGCGTTCAAGTGCAATCAAATCGTCGACGTTTTTCCATAACAGTGGAAGATCTCATGGCAAAAATTCAAGCGGCAGATTAAGCTGCAGCCCACAGGGTTCGTCAAAAAGTTCAAGAAATTCGCCATTGCGGTACGACAGTCCGCGCGGCAGCCCAACAAGCAATTTCTACGCGGGTGCAAAGTTTTCTGAACCGCCATCTCCTGCGAGCCTTCCGAAACCACCGAGCCATTGGACTACGAGACTGACTATGAGCAGTTGTCAGCAATCTGACAGAATTTGCGATATTTCAAATCATTTGAAGATGATATTAAACGTCCAAGCCTGAAGACCAACGAACTGCTAAAAACAGTTACCATCTCCTAAAAGCAAAGAGACAGGTACGATATCATCGTCCACCCTCTTGGATTTAAGGATGTATTTTTTCTCTTATATGTGATGTCAAGCTGTTCGTTTGAAACAAACAAAAACAAAAAAAAAGTGTTTATAACTGCGCGATAACACAATCTCTAAGAACGATACACAAGTAATATTGCAACTAAAACAGGGCACCAGCGTCTTTAGTTTCATGGTACAGATGCTGAGTGAAAAAAAGGAAGGAAACTACAATTCATTCTTTAAACTATTATACAAAGCATACAAACATTATGTATGAAAGACGCGGGTGCGTCTGCCGCGAACCATGATTCAAGTATATGATAACTTGTAACAATTCTATTATGCGCCCATTATGAAGATATAAACGTATGTATTTTAGATTATTATTATATATGATTAACTTGCAGAGACGCATACACATACACAAATACACAAATACACAAACACTGTTATATTATCTGTTTGACGAAATGGTACGAAGACATAGGCAAAGCTGCATTAGCTATTTTTAGAGACAGTAGCTATATATATATATTTATATATATATATACACATATTTTTTCTCCTTTTTTTTTTTTAAATCAAAATTGCTATATCTTAGCACAGTTGATTAGGACATTACGTTTTATCCATTTCTAATTATAATCCGGAATTCTTTCCAAAACATTTATTTAAATCTTTACACATGATATATGCTAATTGCTTTTTCTTCTTATTGAAAAATGCTTTACATTTACAACATAAGTGGTAAACTTTAAGTGTCGCATATATTCATCTACTGCTCTTTGGCATAAACCTAAGTATCAATTAAGTATTTCTCCGACTAAGAATTATTGCTATATTACTTGTCTCCCGGATTCATTTAAGTTGTCAATAGTTTTGGTAGAATTCATGTTCAATGAATCTTAAGGACATAATCAAATTATCCTTCAAAGATTTATCAGAACAAAATTTTTAGTTTATATTTATCTTCCGTTGTTATTGAAGGTATTCTTGTTTATTTTGCAGCTTTGCAGTAGTTTTGCAAAGCATTACATAAGATTTAAGTGACAAGTTTCCAGTGTGCATACAGATGAATCAATTTTTTTGAGATACACGTAATTCATTTATGAAAGAATGAGATAAGATTGTGTGAATGAATCATGAAAAAAATAACCTGATATGTATGTGACCAATGATTATTACTTTCCTGTTTTCTTTTTTTTTTTTTCCAGTAAATTCTTGATTAAGCAATATTTCTGCTTAGGTTAACAAAATTTTTTATTAAAGATTCCTATAGGTGACAAATTTAATTTTTTATCTAATATAAGAAATTCAATCAGAGGCTTGTCATTAGAATTTCATTAAAAAGTGATTTTATTTATCTTTAGGATTGGATAACATTTATTATTTGATATAGAATGAAATCGTGAATTAACAAATTTTTTGGTTCAGTTCTAAATATATTCAAGAAAACATTTCAAGAATGAAATTTTTGCTGGTAGTATATTGTAGTTTACGTGAATTTTGTCCAGACATTGAGTACATTACATTACAAAAATGACAATGATTAAGTTTTTGGATTTTCTTTCTTTTTTATTTTCTTTTCTTTTCTTTTTTTTTTTTTTTTTTTTTTTTA